ACACGTTGATGATCACGCCGCCGCTGCCGCCGCGGCGCGTTGACATGCGTCGCACCGCTTCGCGCGAGCACAGGACGGGGCCGACGATGTTGACGGCGGCTACTTGCTCGAGGGTGTGCCTGTCCACATCCTCGACGCGGCTCTTCCCTCCGGTGATGCCGGCGTTGTTGACCAGCACGTCCAATTTTCCAAATTCCCGATGTGCGGCGGAAAATAGCGCGCGAATGTCCTCCTCTTGGCCCATGTTCCCTTGGACCGTCAGCGCTCGCTGCCCAGCCGCACGGACAGCGGCGGCGGTCGTCTCTGCCGCGTCGGAACGGCCGGAGAAATTTATGATGACGTTGTAGCCGGCGGCTGCAGCGCGGCGGCAGATTGCGGCACCGATGCCTCGGCTGCCGCCGGTTACGAGCATGACTGGCGACGTCGCCGCCATGTCCGATTGCGAACGGCGAGCACCACCCTAACTTGTCTTCCCGGCGTTTTTCTTCTTCTTTGAGAGCGCCTTTGTTGCGTGTGGCACCTTGGAGTGCTGGGGGGGGCGACAGGGAGGATGTGGCCTTGAGTTATGTGTACGCCAACTCAGGGTGTGTGGCAGCCAGCTGGCTGTGTGTCTTGTGAGCTTGTTTGTGTCTGTGTGTCGCTCGTGCGTGTCGTCATCATCTGTCTAGCGTCCACCCATACCGCGTTGGTGTCCAGTCCGAGCCTGGCTGTTCTTCACCTTTCTACCTACCTACCTACCTGCGTGTGTGGCAGCCAGCTGGCTGTGTGTCTTGTGAGCTTGTTTGTGTCTGTGTGTCGCTCGTGCGTGTCGTCATCATCTGTCCCGCGTCCACCCATACCGCGTTGGTGTCCAGTCCGAGCCTGGCTGTTCTTCACCTTTCTACCTACCTACCTACTGTGTGTGTGTGTGCCTGTGTGTGTGTGTGTGTGTGTGTGTGTGTGTGTGTGTGTGTGTGTGTGTGTGTGTGTGTGTGTGTGTGTGTGTGAGTGTGTGTGTGTGTGTGTGTGTGTGTGTGTGTGTGTGTGTGTGGGGGTGTGTG